TAATAATTTTAAAAAATATTTTTTAATCTACGCTCGATTAGACGGATTTAATTTTTACTATAAAAATAAAATAGTAAGATTAATTATTTATTTAAATTAAATATACTTAACAGTTCGGAATAGTAAATAATAAATAATAATAAAATATAGAATTTAATTCTAAAAATTCTATTTATTATAAGCTGTAGAGGCCTAGAAAAAGTAATAATTAGAAAAAGAATTATTTTTAAAAAATAAATAAATATTTATAATAGTATATTATTAAATATTTAACTGATTATTTGCTTAAATATAACTAATATTATTTTTTTATAATCTTTATAAAAATAGTAGCTTATAAAACTAGTTTTTGTATTTTTAATTTTTGGGTGTTGTAAAATATAAAAGTATATAATATAATAAATATAAAAAATTCTATTAAAAAATAATATATTTTTTTAAAAGCTATTTTATATTATTAATAACTTCTTCCGACCGAAGTAAAATAGCAGTTTTTAAACTTATATATAAATTTTAAAAAAGATTATTTTCTATTATTAATTTTAAAAATTAAATATAGAATAATCTTCCGATTCTTCGCAACGCGTGTAATCTTAAGATTTAAAAAAGAAGAAAAGATCTAGCTTAAAAAATTTATTTCAGTTTAAATATTATTATAATTTATAAAGATTTAAAAAACAGAAAAAGAAGATTTAATAGTATTTTCTAAGAATAAATCAAATAACTGCAGTTGATTTATAATTTTAAAGCTATTCTATAAATAATAATTATAGAAAAATAGAAGTAGAAAACTTTATAAAAATAGTTTATTTTATTTTAAAATATATTTTTATATAAATATAATTTATTATATTTTAATATACAGCTAAAATACCCGCTGTAATACTATATTTTATTTATTTTAATAAATTTAATATTAAAATACAGGCGGGCTGAAGTAGTAGATATAATAATTTAAATTAAAAAGTCTTAATAATAATTTTTTTTATTTTTAATTAATAATCTAAATCAGATTATTTTTAAATATATAAATAAAATATAGCTCGAAGAGCTACTAATAAAATCAGAAATAAATAAAATATTAAATTAATTATATATTATATATAAAATAGTTGAATCAGATAGATTTTTTTTTAATTAAATTATAAAATCCGAATACTATAGGCTTTAGTATTCAGTTTTTATATCTATTTTTTTAAAATAATTCAGATCCAATAAATTAAGCCGATCAGGCAGATAAAATAAGTCAATTAAATAAATTAAATATTCTAAATCTATATTATAATATTTAATAAATAGATTAAATAATAGTTAGAAAGTACGGTTGCTGAGAATAACTAAATAGATAGTATAGTATAAATTTTCTATTAAAAATTTAATTTATAAAATAAATAATTCAGTTTTTTTAAATAAAAAATAAAAATATAATAAACTATCTAAGCTTAATTTAAATAAAAAATAGTAAAGTAATAGTAGTATATTTATTTTTAATAGTCTAATTAGTAGTAAATATATAGTTTTTTTAATATTATAAATTATTATTAAAGTATACAGTCTAAACAGAGCTGTAATTATATATTTTTATATATATTTTTTATTATAATAGTAATAAGTTTTAAAAAAGCTAAATTTTGTTAATATTATTAAAATTTTCTTATTAATTCTTAGATATAAAAATAAAAAAGGTACTAATACTTCTTTTAATTATTTTTTTCTAATTTAAAAAGCTTTATTATATATATTTTTAAATAATAGTTAAAATAGTTAGATTAATAACTGCTTAATCTAAATATATCTTAACTATATTAAAATCTAAAAAGATATAGTAAACAGATCTTAATATTAAGAACAGTTAAAATAGTTAACTGTTTGTTTTTTAACTATACTGCAGTCAGATATAAAAATTTTTTTAATCTGATTATAACCTAGCGGTCAGGTATAAAATTTCTAATTAACCTGATCTGACCTGGCCGTTAGCTACTCTATACTCTTCTACGACTGAATTATATTTAATTTATTTTAAAAAATTAATTATATAGTTTTTATATACTTCTTTCTGATATAAAGTATACTTATACTGTATAGATTCTATTTATTATAATAAAGAATCTTTTTTTTAGTTTTGAAATAAAATTCTAAAATAAATTTTTAAATCCAGATTAAAATTAAATTTATAATCGGATATTTATTAGAATTGAGTTTATCTACAGTTAGATCGATATACCAGCAGATAAATTTTTTAAATTCTTTAAAATCTAATATTTAATATCTAATTTTAATTTTATAGTTTTTAAATAAGTTCTTTTCTTCTTTCAAAAATCTATAAGAATATAAAAAGACTTAATATTCTAAAACTTAAGATTTATAATCTACTTTTTATAATAGTATATTCTTTTTCTATAATCTTCTTTTATTTTTAAGAAAGCTTTATTTTCTGATTTTTAAATATCTTTAACTTAATAAATATTTATATTATAGCTTTGCTTTTAATAAAATTTATAATAAGTCTTTTTTTTATTTTAATTAGCTTTAAAAGCAGAAATATAAAAAACTATTATTAATAAATATAAATAAGATTAAAAAATTAAATAAAAAGTAAAATATAGAAAGATGTAATAGAAAATATATAAAAAAATAGATTAATAATTAACAAACTCAGATAAAATAAACTCTATTTATATCCGAAATAAAAAAGAAATATCTTAGATTATATATTATTATTTGTCTATTATTAAGCTATTTATTTATAATAAAAAAATAATCGGTGTTGAAAATATTTAAAATTAGAAAAATTAAAAAAAATTAACAGCTTTTATTTTAGTAATATTTTTAAATTTTATAGATTTATATCAGTACCTCAGATTTTAATAAATATTAATTGCATACAGTTTAAAAAGCATATTCTAATTATATAAATTATTATAGTAAATAAATAAAGACTCTTTAGAATTACTGACTAAATAAATTAAAATAATCTGAAAGCAATCGGAGTTTCTAAATACGTGTGCTATAAATAATCTGTAAGTATCCCAAAGCATATACAGATTATTTACATACTATTTTTATAAAAGCGGCGGTATTCTAATTAAATATGCAAACGGGAATTGAAGCAAAACAGTTCACTTATACACTAGTACAGCTTCTAGCTCTAGGGTTCCCAAGATCGATCGACAGTGGCTGATCTGGTAGGAGTGCTATCCCAAATCTGGTTCATATGATAAGGTACTTTTCAGCAGATGAGCGGGTAATTGACGCCGTACATCTTACTGATCTATCATTGTTTGTGTGATGAACACCAGAGCTATAGTTATATGCCATGTCTGGTGAATCGACGAGATATCTACATTCATTGATCATGTAAACAGGGAATTGGTAACTGAAGCCGGAATATACATCGAGATATTTTATCGGCTCTGGGCCAGCTGCTACATTATGTACAAGTACTTTCTCGTTCACACCAATAGTATAATATAATATTTAATAACAAATTCATGCCGACGAAAGGTAGCTCCATGAACAAACTTCACTCGGAGTCGAACGCCAGGAAATCCTGATCAGTGTTGGAAGATAGCTTACGCTCGAATCCGATCCGTCCTCATTGCACTTATATATTCGAACAAAATAAGCCGAGGAAGAGGACCCACGGCACATTTTGAGTCCCGAGCTTGTGTATTCTCTCAATGTAATTTGATTGAAGCATATATCTCCAGCATTACGTTGGAAATAGAAGACACCGTCTAATGGAAGAGATAGGAATGATTCTAAAAGGGTATTACTACTATTGCCGGCGAACGCCTTGTCTAACAGCCTCAGGATGTAGATTAATGTATGTAGGCCGAAGCGCGTTTGTTTGTAACCGGCGGAGCCAGAACCGCCACACGGATTGGATACAGTCAGTTCCAGACTTCCTGGCAGCATAGAAATGAGCATGTGAGGGACTTTCTCTGGATGATATTACCTGCTATGAGGAGGTTGAGCGTCATCACGCAGGTCGGACTCTGGAAGTTGAACCTTGACTCGACAGATCGTCTCACCAAAGGGGCAAGATTGCCCTAATTACCCTAGAAACCGGGTTTTCGATGGTCTTCGAAGAGCAATTAGTTTCTACCCCTTGACAAAGATTTTCAACTATATGATCAACTATACTCCGGAGTACGCTCTGCCCGGTTTTGTCACTGTGCCTGCGACAAAGCTGGGAAATAATCCCATGACCGCATATACCGCCATACAATGAATCAGTGGCTCCCAGCCATGAAACGTCAACAGTCCTCGATCAACACAACAACCAAGGCCAAGATCCAACGCGACTACTCTTACCTACGGCCGAAGCTCCATGTGTTACATCCAAATTCCAGCCGCGGAATGTGCGCCAAACCCCAACGGTATCATACCGTACCTCAACCGCGCCATTTCTCCTCCTTTAGAGCTATTTTGTCGATCCGAGTCGGAGCTCACCAAGCCACAGATGTATTCCAGGACGCGTACCACTCCTCAAACTCCTGTCATATGGCTTTGAGCCTGACAAAGTATGAGTAGCTTGCCTCGCGTCATCAAGACCGAGCACGCAAGGGGCGATGGCTATGATAGGGCACTCCGAGGCTCCGGAATGCGAGCCATACGACACGCGACGACCTTGTTCGAGCTCGCTTTGAAGTATATAACAGAATATAAATAAGACGCAATGCTGTTTGCTGCTCTTCCTCAGGCTTTTGTGCGTTCTGCTTGACTCATCTATTCTCATCCACGCGTTCTCAATATATCCACAGTCCTCTATACCCAGTGTACATTGCTCCAACCAAGCCATGAAGCCCCAAGCCCTCCTTAACAAACTCGCCCTCCTGGGCTCCGTCCCCTTCGCCCTAGCAGACACCCTCAACATTGTCGCCCACCAGGACGATGATCTCCTCTTCTTGAGCCCGGACCTCATCCGCGACATCCTCTCCGGGCAGGCGGTGCGCACCGTCTTCCTCACGGCCGGCGACGCCGGGCAGGGCACCAGCTACTGGCAGAACCGGCAGCTGGGGTCGCAGGCGGCGTACGCGCGGATGGCGATCGCGAGCAACAGCTGGACGGAGACGGACGCGGGGATCCCCGACAAGGACATCTCGATCTACACGCTGTCGGAGAACTCGTCGATCTCGCTGGTCTTCCTGCACCTGCCGGACGGCAACATGGACGGCACCGGGTTCGCGGCGGACCACAACGACAGCCTGCAGAAGCTGTGGGACGGGGCGATCGACCACATCACCACCATCGACGGCTCCGGCACGACCTACACCCGCGACGAGCTGATCCACACCCTCACTGCCCTCATCGACGACTTCCAGCCCGACGAGCTCAAGACCCAGGACTTCCACAACACCTTCGGCGACGGCGACCACAGCGACCACTACGCCACCGCCTTCTTCGCTACCTCCGCCCTGAACGACGCCAGCAGCCACCCCGATCTGACCGGCTATGAGGGCTATGGCATCAACAACAACCCCGTCAACTTGGATGCCTCGGACATCGAGGACAAGACTAACATCTTCTACGAGTACGCCGTGCATGACCAGGGCACCTGCAGCTCCTCGACGGGTTGCTCGACGCGACCTGAGAGCGGGTGGTTGCAGAGACAGTACACTATCTAGATGGTGGCATTATCTTTTTAAAGCCACCGGTTGAATGTGAGCATGGGGTGCATTGGAGTCCATATTGATTGTGGGATGGACCGTCTGGGACGGGGATTACGATATACACATGTTTTGCTGAGTTGACGATGTTATGCAGATGCTGCTTAGGTAGAGATTGGTTAATGAATGATAAATCGAAGTCACATGGCCGAGTGCTGGGGTGGAGTTGTGTGCATTGGCACGGGGTGAAGGGGAAAACATTCCTCGAATGCATTGACACGAGGTAGCTGTATAGAATTCCATTCGAATACTGTCGGGACAATACCCCTGCGTCATTCCACGCCATGCTGATCATTGTGTAGTTTTATCCTCACAGTATACTTCCACAATAGATGTTAGTCAGGGTTGGGCACTGGAATGTGTGACCCGTCAGCTTGCTTGCCTGTTCAGGCAGAGGCACATTCCATCATCCCCTGACTCAGCTTGTAGGATTTCAGGCAACAATTCAGGCAAATTTCTAGACCACGGCTGGAGGAAGGTAAAGTACCGTGACGGGATGTGACATTTCATCTCACTCATGCACAAGGATTGTAAGCTGGACCGCACAGCATCTGACACAAGCTCAGACTATCTATCTAGCTTACAGCTGTTGAAGAAGTTGCTAGAGTAGACAAATAAGCAGTCGTTTAACAATACTTTGAACATGGTTCAATCGACGTGGCATTTTGAATTGTTGGTGCGATTTAAATTGACGTGACAGTACACTCGTCGGTATCCTTCGACTTCTACGTGACCGGTACAAGAAGATTCCGTACAGCTTCTACCTCATCACAACCACTACCAACTAGTATTCCAAAGCTCGACGTGTATCAAATCCACCATTTTAAGTCTGAGCTGTGACAATGTAAGTGGAACTTACCTGACGCGATGGATCGAGACCAACGTGGCCAATCGGAGGAATGACAAGCGTGATGCCTTTATCAAAGCCCAGTCAGAAATATACTTTATACATTAATTACACGATGCAAGCCACTAGCACTCGATCAAGACGGTAACAGAGGCCGAGCTTTCTACATCGCAGTTAACAAGGAAAAAGGCAATATGTTTGGAATCTATGACGAGGATTAGGATTTGTGTAAGCCGCGGCAAATAAGACCTCAAATTGATCCGCAGCAGGAGAACCCTTGAAGAAAGAACGATTGAATAAGAACGTAAGGTGTTCCAGGCATCAGAACCACACTCGCAGAACAATATGGCAGGGTGAGGCTCTACACCTAGTGCGCAACCTTCTGCACCAATTGCTCCGTCGTCTGGATGGAGTGTTTCAAATGATCAAGCACGAGATTGATGGACTTCTTTTGGCCGGTCACGGAATAGTTTACGCCACCCTGGAATTGCTGGAAGTAGGTCGTGATGCCGATCTGGGTCTGCCTCAGCCGCGCAAGCGTACGGCTAGTGAGCATGTCCATCACAAACTTATTCTCTTCATCAGGCAGTTCGTAGCTCCCTAATCGAATGCGATCGGCTGACAAACTGCTAGACCTCGGGCGAGACCTACTGCCAGCTGATATTCTCGCCGAACGGCTCTTGTCTCCGAGTAAGCTGGGAGAGAGCACCTCGCCACTGGCCAAGAGGCTCGAGCGGCGGGAGCGCTGAGGCGTGTTATGTGTAGTAGGAGTGGGAGGCTCGTGGGATAAGGACACGCGATCGTAGATGACCAGTTGCAACCAGCGAAGCACCAGACGCAGACTCATCGCGAGCAGTAAGAGTGCGACGTGATCTCCGTCCATGCGACAGAGCGAGCACCCGAGCAGCGCGCCCCATCTGATCCGGATATCCTGTGTCGCTTCAAGGACGATCGGGAATGCAATCGGACACGGCTCAGCTTCCCGTTTCCGAAGACACGACAGAGATTCAGCCTGCACGCCCACGCAGTTGCACTTTTGGCAGGGGATACTGGCGTTGGCCCTTGCTCCTGGAGCATCGGACTGAGGTTGTAGTAGCTGGTACGATGAGAGAGGCGCAGGGAATGAAGAATACTCTTCTTCTGAGAACGCCTGTATGTTATTCTGGGCAGAGATACACAAGTGCATGTCAGTGGTCATTCACATTACAGGTCTGAGATTCGCATTACAGAGGAAGCCACCGTTGGACATACTGGAGCGGCAGAAGACGAGGTACCCCCAGATTCAACCAAGTAGGTCCGTGCCAGACAAGCAGGTGCGCTCGAAGACAAATTGGTATGAAGGTCCTGATCCGATAGGGTCGCTAAAGGTGATCTGAAACTGAACTCATCGGGGCGAGTCGTTGTCGGAATCTCGAGATTTCCACCCGTAAGTAACGGTGACTGTGGCAGATCCCAGTTCCATGCCTCGGACAGTCCGCTGTCTTGGGATATATCGGCACCAGACGAGGAATCATTTGTCGAAGGGGGGCCGAATGTCCTGTTTTTGGAGCCCTTAGGTCGACCGATGCGGTTGGGAGCACTGTAGATGCACGTATGTCTATATTTTGTACAGGTCATACAAGGCCGCCCGCCGGAGCATTTCATCTTCATGTTGTGGCATGAGTCGCATGCTAAGCGCACCCTTCTCGCGGAGGTAGACTCCATAGTGTGGCGTAGCAGAGAGATATCTGCCGAGTTTCTAGGAGCCAAGGTCGGCTGAAGGCGTTATCGCAGACGAGGTAGCTATTCAACAAACACTTGCGGAAAAGCCCAAGACGAGGGTGACAAAGGCATACTTAGACCCTAGTCCGGGATTTGCATATCTGCAGAAACCGGACACCTCCGTAAGGGAGGACTACCTGACAGCTGACGTTTGCTGTTGCACTTCTAACCCATTCTTTGCGTCCAAAATTCCCTGATTTCATGGTTCACGACAGAGGATCTACCTCGACGCCAGTGTATCCAATCAATGTGTTGACTCACTTCTCGTCTGAGCACAGTTCGCCCTGACATACGGAGAGCGACAAACCAGAGAGCATTTGCCTTAGCGAGCACCGCCCCAACCCGCCCCAGCCCGCCCGCCTGTACGGCCCAGGGACATATAAGTCAACGTCCGACTGCTGCAGCGGTGGTTGAAACGTTGTGTGATTGGCCGCAAACTTGGAATCATCAGCCAAGCCCCCTGTCCAATAGCAAGGTCAAAGTGCATCAGCTCCTGCAACTGCACTATGATTTCAACCCCAGCAAGGTGTGCACCAGAGATATGCTATACCCGCCAATGATATGTCAGAGAATACTGCGTTCAACCGTGTAGCAACGGTCGTGTTTCCACGCGATTGACTAAATGTTCGTGCCAAAGACAGGACAGCTTCAAACTCCAGGCCTCGAGACTGGCCGGAAAGCAGCCCCTCGCCGAATTTGGGTTGACGCGTGACCGGCACAGGCCTATTGTCTATGTAAGGGGCAGAGCCAGACCGAAGGACGGTAGCATCAACCGTCTCTCCAAGGCTGGTGATCCCCAGTTCCGGAACAGTGTCCCGGTGGACCAAACAGAACACACGGTGAGCATCGATGTCTGCAGCTCAACTCAGACTGTCCCTGCCTTCTTGTTCGGTACTCTCATCCTAATCACAGTATGCTCCTGCGGCTTCAACGCCCTGTAAAGCTGACAGGTGCGCGGCCGCATAGTCGGCTAATGCTTTCGCCATTTCAGAGGCAGAGCCCAGCCTATCAGCCAATGGCAAAGTCCATTGTATGTACTAGGTCCCTGAGAAGACGCTTGCGTGGGGAATTGTGGTATGTGCTTGTTCTGCAACAGCGTTGGGGTAATCTAGTACTTGTTACGAGCGTGCCTCGACGTGAGGCAATAGTCTTGACAAGAAGGACGCTTACGCAGTTGCAGAAGAGGACATCCTATCCTAGAGTATTGACCGATGCAAGCCGATGCAAGGGGTGAGAATAATCACTGAGCCTATCACCAATCAGACCCGTGATGCTCGGGCCGAATCCGCTTATTTGCTGGTGAATTGCCCCGAGCGTTGTGCTGCAGCTTGCATTTAGTGCCAACTTGTCTTCAGACGGGCAGCAGAGGTGGGCTCTTTGGTAGCTGCCTGCTGCATGATCACCCAGCATGTGGTTACTTCTCCTTGTGTTGGTTCTTTCGCTGACGGAGTGGAGCGGAGCGGAGGAACATTGCCGTATATCACGTGGTACCACGTGACCGTCGACTAACCTTCCCTTTTCCACTTGCTTTTCTTCACTTCTTCACTTCTTTACATCGCATTTTGCATGGAACAATTATCGTCTCTCTCACTCACGTGCGGATTAATGATAACACAGAAGGCCCCTTCAGCTGTTTCCTGAAAAGTGGAGACTCGATAAGATAACCGATCCTTAGCCACTGTTAGCTTGGATGACGTGCGTTTGGTTGGCGATGGCCTCAGCCTCGGTTGTCCAAATGGCGCTGTAGTGCGGGGAAACCTAACCTTAAACCCTCTCTACATGCCCTCCTGCAAGGTTCGTTCCTCCATGGATCAACATCTTCACTCACCCTTCATCATGAGCACGGAGGCTCGTGTCCGCAAGCGCATTCCCAAGTCCTGTAAACGGTGTCATCGCCGCAAGCAACGCTGCGTGGGCTATCCGACTTGCGCGGGATGTGAGGCCGCTAACCAGCCATGCTTGCGCTCCGAAACCGTCCCCTCATGGCATCACGCTATGTCCAAAGGGGCCTTGGTTCAAAGAATTGAAATGCTCGAATCCCAATTGGCCACCGCGTTACAGCGCCCATCGCTGGAGCCACATGCCGATCAGGATACGGCGTCAAGCCATCACAACCCGGATCAGTCTGCTGTCCTCTCCCTGTTATCGCTTGGTCGCGAACACAACCATGGGCCAGCATATCTGGGGCCGTCATCGGGCCGGACCATCGCGAAGACCCTAGGTGGCATCGTAGACGATACCGTATGGAACGAGTCCATCCCCATCAATGCTGGTTTCCAACGCAAGGAAAGCATTGCCTCGAATGCCTCTGCACTGAGCAGTACCACATCTCTCCCAGGTCTTGATGGGGGCTCCAAGCTCATCGATGCTTATTTTCGAGACATGCATACTCGACTGCCGTTTCTGGATCGCTCCGAGATCTACCACCTACACCAGACCATCCACCAGAACAATCATGCTGGGATTCGCGGGTTTGAGATTTTCAAGATCTTCATGGTCTATGCCTTAGGGGCCTCGATACTACAAATGACTGATTCATATGACTCAACTCCCCCTCGCGATTTTTGGACTGCAGCATCCAATTCCCACAGCGCCCTCAAATCAACCTCGACATATGCGAGAATTGAGGCAATCATGTTACTCGTCCTATATGATTTGCGCTCAGCCTCGCATTCGAGTGTGTGGTATACGGTAGGCCTAGCAATGCGCATCTGCGTTGACCTCGGGCTACACCGCGAAAGCCAGTATCGAGCGATGCGACCGCACGCTGCCCAGCTGCGGCGTCGTCTGTTCTGGAGCGTATACTTGGTTGAGAGATATGTGTGTTGGTCTCTGGGCCGTCCGTTCAGCATCGCCGAAACGGATATAGATGCTGATGTACCGGCTGACATGGACGACGCGCTCAATGATGATCGACAGGTTGATCAGATGGTGCAGACTCCTTCGGACCCGACGGCGCCAACAGCAGGCCCGAATCTTCGCAGGTTTATTGCTACCATCCAGCTTCAGCGCATCATGTCTCGAATTCACTCTGAGATATACCGTGTCGATCGAGACCTACCAGCATTGATTACTAAAGTACCCCCGTTGATGGCTTCTCTGGAGGACTTCCAGCGGTCTCAACCGGTCATGGCACCCGAGGAATCAACCTTTGTACGCATGCACTGGTATAACTGCATCCGCATGCTACTACAGCGATTCCTTAGCATCCTTCCTAGTGAGGATCCCATGATCCAGAAATGTCTCTTCGTTTCTGGCAAAATGTGCCAGTGCTTCAAGACACTGCGGCAGAGAGACTCATCCGGGTACTCATTTCTTCTGGTCAATTCATTGTTCATGGCTGGATTGACGATGTGGTAAGCTCTGTTGCACTCAGTGGAAGAGCGCGGCTGATCGAAGTAGTCTCTGTCTTTTCCGGGCGCCCCATCTCTGGAGCGTGGCAGTGTCGGACGATTTGCGGGCCTGCTCGTTGGTGATGTTCATGATGGCTGAGCGGAACACCACCCTGCGCAGATATCGCGATGGGCTAGAAACCGTCATGACCAGAGCCATCGAATTTGTGAACAATGCCATCAACACGCCGAGCGAAAAAGTCGCAGGGTTTTCAGCAGCCCCGTCCGGTGAGCCATGGTCCCAGCTTGACGCAGTATCCCATCCTGGAGTTCAAGCGACCCACGGGTCCCATGGCCTTCCTGAATGGTTTGATTTACCCACCCCACCTACTGGCGCTGATTCAATCCCTTACGAGGGACCGAGTCTACAATGCCACGGATTACAAGAGATGCTAGATAACCTGCACTCGTTTGGCGATATGCTGACGGATGATTTCTGGACCGACCTTCCGTGGGCATCAATGGCAGGATAGCAACGAGTAATGGTCGAGAAATCAAGCACAATTCATACATATCATTATCACTACGATCAGGATCATGAAAGGGTCATTCCACATGTCGAAGCACATATGCCGGACTTCCACTGCTACCAGTGCGCAGGGGATAGGGTATCCTCAATACCCAGATCTTCTCTCCTGGACTTGCTTTCCGGATCGAAATAAGGAACCTCACCCACCCCCACGGCCCGGTTCCCACTCCTTGGCCCGAAGCCTTCGTGGTCGCCAGTAGCGGTGTGGAAGACACTGCGATTGTCCCAGATGGCTGGTCTTTGTTAGCACGAATCGAGTCGCAGAATCATATAGACCTACCAATATCATTGGGCTCGTTCCATTTGAACCGCACTTGGAGATCATGCCCGTGGATGATCAGATCGTTGAAATATTGGAGCATGTTCGCACTCTCTTTGCGACTCAATTCGTTGATCTTGGAGGGGAAGGCGCCTGATTGCAGCCCTCGTTAGCATTACCCTTGGGTTCCAGATGTACCTTCGACTCACCAGCAGGAAAAATCGACTTCCACCCGGTGATCGGGTTCGTGCGCACCACCTACACCCACATAGTCAGCACCCCCACCTGCCAGCCACATTCGAAGCAAAGGAAAGACCAACCGGATGAACCGCCACCAACTCATCGCCCACATTGACCGGCGCGCCTCGTTCCCCGGTAAACATCTTGAACCCCCCCACCTGCGCCATTCTGCGGAACCCCTCGCCAACGTGCGTAACCGTGAGCCCCTCCACAAAGGCCCGGTACGGCTTACTCAACCGATCGTACATCTCATACCCGGACGCCCACAGCGTATCCCCGCCGGTGGTGGGCAACTGGATGAGCCGCAGGCTCGAGAAGTCGGCCGGCGCCTTCTCGAACGCGATGTCGCTGTGCCAGACGGCCGCCTGGCTGGTGTAGTCCGATCCCTTGTACAGTTTCTTGCGGCCCTCGGAGTTGATGGTGCTGATCTCGGGGTCCGGGTCGCCGAATTCGCGGGCGTCGTTGGTGACGGGGTGGATGTGCAGGCCGTGGGTGGCGGGGCGGGTGGTCAGTTCGCCCAAGCGGAGGATCAGCTGCTTCTGGAGGGCATTGGTGAGGTTGTCTTGGGCGCGGAAGAAGACGACGCCGCGTTCGGCGACTGCGTGCTTGCGTTAGTGGGATTGGGGGGAGGGGGGATGGGGGGGAATGGGGTGGACGAACTCATGACGGCCAGATCGCGGATGCGCTGGTCTGCCTCTGGACTGTTCAGGATATCGTCGACGATGTTGCAGCTTCCCTTGAGGAATTCATTGCCAACAACTGGGGTTACCATCACGGGGTGGAAGGCGTCCAGGGACCCGCTGGACTGGATGCGTGGATGGGGCGCCATTGTGTGAAGTGGTTAGTCCTTGATGTTTTCTTGTTAGTGTTCTTCCAACTCAATGTGGATAGTTACATAGATTCTGCTCGGAGACTGCATGTCTTATCTATTCATCGTAGGTTTCAACGCGGGTCGAAAGGTGAAGCGTTTGTCGACCGCGCGCATCGGCTTTCGGCGTTTAGATGGAGCTTCACTGCCATGTGGGGCTATCGCCGACTCCCGTCGCGCCCGCGCAGCCAATGTTTGAGGTGCGGCGTGACACCATCTGAGCGTTGATGCTGTGATATGGCAATATTGAGGCGTGATTGATAGTATTCCGTAGCTGCAAATCGTTGAATGGACATCCTGGTTGACTGAGGACACCGCCTCTTGGGATCGTGTGTGCGGGATTGTGTAGCCTTGTTTGCCGCCTTGTGCATTTATACCTGGAATGCGGGCCACGTCCAGGGGTCTATCAGCACATTGAACACAGGTTGTGGCTTCTAGAGCCAAATGGTACTGAGAGTTTTCAAGGCCGGCATTTTTAAGTCTTGGATGTATGTGCTAGGCCCACTAACGAAAGCGCGCGCCACACATCTACTGTACCTCGGTCAATTCGGACCCGAAACTGCCATCTACACCGAAGATAAACCGTCCTCGACTCCCTTACAGATCAAGCCTACAAACACTACAAACCAGCCCCCAGCTCATAAACTCATCTTCATTATTATATATAACGCATATCCCATATCAGCATAGCATAACCCCACCGTCCCCTCATAATTACATCCCTCGCAACCTCGAAGCATTAGTATGTACAACCCTCCCATCCAGATACTATACACCTCCCCACCATCACCACCGAATGCACCTAAAACACGGAGCTGGTGACATTGACCGTAACATTGCGGAACGTGCACCCCTCGGTCTTATACAGACTGGCATAGCGGTCCTCGAGCACGGCCGCGACGAAGGTCAACGCGGCAGCGTGCCCGTTGATCTGGTCAGCGGAATGCCCGCCGACCGTGTTGCGCTCGTAGAGAATGTTGGCGCCGACGCCGCAGTAGCGCGCGAGCAGCACGTCCGTGTCACGGATGGGGCTGACCTCGTCGTTGATGGCCTTGTAGGCGTAGACGGGCAGCTGGGGCACCCCGTGGTAGCCCATGTAGCCGTCGCGGTTGAGCACGTACTGCACGCGGGGATCCTGGAAGGTGTCGCTGCCGTTCACGAAGTAGTTGTAGATGTTCTGGCCCGCGAAGAAGAGCTCCGATTCGCTCAGGGTCAGGTTGCGCGCCGCCAGGAAGGTGGTGCCGTTGTAGGGTCCCGTTGGGTTCAGTTGCGAGATCAGGAAGTCGTAGGTTACCGGGTATTGGCTGGCGATGCCGAGAATGGCCTCGGGGACGAGCCCGGCCGAGAGCGTGCCGGTGACTGTGTTCATCACGTTCGTGATGTTGGGCGTTAGGCCGCCTAGGGCGGCGCCGGCGAGGGTTAACTCAGGGGCGTATTGGTTCTGGAGCTCCGTAGCCCATTCGCTGGCCAGCGCGCCGCCGGAGTAGCCCCACAGCGCGGTGCGGGTGGTCGCTGGGCCCAGGGCGTGGAATTGGGTGACCCTTGGGTTGGAGGCGGAGTAGAGGATGCTGCGGATCGAGTCGAGGGTTGCGTGCCCGGATTGCACGCCCGCGGTGAAGGAGGCCAGGGGCCCTTCGTAGTCCGGCACGTTGACGTACCAGCCTTGGCTCAGGGCTAGGGAGACGTCCGTCGGTGGGGAGCTGTACATGGTGTAGCTGGGGCTGGCGTCGAGGTCGTTGGAGTCGTAGGCGATCTGGTACGAGAGCAGCGCGGTGCGGTTGTCGCTGCCCGTGCTGGGGTTGGTCGGGATGAAGACGGTCGTCACCGCCCACGAGGGGTGGTATTGGCTGTCTGTCGTGCGGTAGACGATGTTGTACGCCGCCGAGGCGTTGCTGACCAGCGCCGTCAGGTTGCCGGGAGCCGGGCGCAGGCGCAGAATGGTGCCTGGGAGGGTGCTCTCAAAGCCATTAGGGGCGCTATAGAAGGGATCCTCGGTGGGAGGAAGCACTACAGACGGGCTGGTGGTAGGCAGCCCGTAGACAAGAGGGAGAATACCCCCGAGGAGAGGGAGGAGACGGGCCGGAGAGAGCATGGCGAGAAGGGGATGAGGGATTAGGAGGGGGAAAGAGGAAAAGGTGGGAGAAGAGGACAAAGTACGGTGGCTTTGGGGGGGAAAGCTGTGTTTATGTGCTGGGCGCTGACCGACAATCCCCGCAGGTACGGAAACACTAGACGGAAGGATCCAGTTCCTTGTAAGAGAGCAGTTCAGTGCGCAGCAAAGCCGAATGACATCAAACCTCGTGTCGGGCTTCAGGCAGCCAGTCAAAGTGGGGAATTTCCCTCGGATGGCCCGGATCCATCATTAATCAGTAATCATTTATTCCCGCAACCCTCAGGCACTTTCGGTCATTTTCAGCTGCGCAACGAGATTGGTCAGTTCAACCTTGCTGGACTCAGCCGCAGCTTGTTGCTTATTATTGCTTGGCGTGGTGTAAGCTGGAGAGCTGGAGACTGGAGAGCTGCGCCCGTTGGGGAGGGAAAAAGATAGCGAGCGATCAGGGCTCCGGCCTTCCCGTGACTCCACTCCAGGCAGAGATGCTCGCCCTGCCTTGGAACTGCGATCCCTGGCTAGAAAAATTATGTCATTTCATATTTGGAGGTATAATCCATTGTAGTATGTCTCATTGCTCGACAGGAGAATATCTACTCCGTGTCGGAACTTCGAATCCTCTGGTAGAGATGGAACATGTTCAGAACAATCGATTGTTGCGCCCCGGCGGACAAGAAGAATGGCGACCAGTTCGCCAGTACCACTCCACAGCGCCAAGTGGACCTTCTAGAAGCACTACACACAACCCGGAAAAGTCGGTTTCACCCGCGCCCAATCACAAGTCTCATCATCGCAATGGGTTTGGGGTGCGATAGGGAAATGTATCTTGCGACCACCGATAGCAATGGGTCATGACCTCCGCTGCCTCGGCTGCCATGACCTGGTTTCCTGCGAGGGACGGCACACCACAACGTAAGCGTCGGACTTTCTTCACTCAATTATACTTTGGGTTGCTGTCCGGCAAACTCACTAAGTCCAATCGGTCAGCTTCTCCGGAACAGGCACAGAGAGAATTCCTGGTCTTGTCAGCAGGGTGATCCCACCTGCATATGGTGTGATAGCGCTAGCCTTCTCCGCACAGCTTCCCCCGCATGCCGCTGCTGCTTTTGTCGAGGATTTTCGGGGCTATCCCTGCTGATCTGACATGTGAATGAACTCAGTCATCGATATTTTCTGATCCTGTCAGTAGTGCTCGAATTATGATTGATGATTTTGCACGCATATCTGACACCATGTGCAGTTTTCCATTCGTGCCGCATTTTTGTCTTGCCGATTATGCGGTGGGTCGCATAGGTAGGGCCGGCTTGAGAGATTCCGGAGACCGGGGCATTATATCTCGGTATTATTGATCGTGCACCTCCACTCAGTGCTGATTCTTGTCCAATCAGTGCCCAATTGATTCGTTATTCGCAGACAAGAACTAGGTTGGCGATGTGTAACAATGAGATAACCATGAAGTTCCGCTTTAGCAAGCAAGCATCAATCAGAGGCACAAGCCAGTAAGCATACATTGTTTGCAGGTATATTGAAGGTTGACACAGTGCCGAAAATGCACAGGATACACTGTTCTGCTTCCTGTTAAACCTTATCTTTACCTTCTCTAAGCCGAGAGTACTATTACTCTTGTATGATTGTTATACAACCGAAGAGTGTTGGGAAAGTGGACTACCGGTTGCTACTGGAATCCCCACGATAGAGTTTGAGACTCTTCAACAGCATTCCAGATGCACAGGAAACACATATATACAACTCCCCAATCTAATAAATCTCCAACGGCACGCAGTATTTCTCCCACATCTCCTCCGTATCTGCCTCCCTCCACTTTCCGATTCCCCCGGACACCCCGTTCTCATCCACGTCCCAGTCCCCCTCCCGCACCCGTTCCACCCAGTTTCGCAGCACCTGGTGAATAGGAACATGGCGGTGGGGGATGCATCCGTTCTACACGCACTGATACAGTTCCGAGTTGGATTTGCCGGGCCCCGGGAGTATATCGTCCGTGTACTCCCTCCCCATGATCGTCCCGTCGCTGCGGCGCACCCAACCCTGCTCCCCGATACTGAAGGGCAGGAGTAGATGACATCCCGACTCCCAGGCGCGGTTTCCGCTGTCGTCGCGGCTTAAGTATAGCCCCGCCGGTCGCGCGGGAACCGGGAGACTGACTTGCCTCCGTGAGGTCAGAAAGTCATTGAGATCGATGCCGGGGTCGGGGACGGCCATTGGTGGTGATGACGATGACGATGAATCTTCGGGGTCCGCGACAAGCAGCAGCGTGGGACGAATCGGTCTGAGACGAGGCAGTTCCCGCAGGTACCAGGGTGCATACTCATAGTCCCGGAACGGCTGAGCGCGGGACTCTGCTATCATGGGCAGGCGAATCCCCGGGGCCAGGTACCAGAAGGATCGACGGGTGGAGGTCATACAGGTGGTCGCGGTGGCGTCGCAGAACGCCCCGGCGAAGCTGTTCGGGAGGATGCGGGTTTCCTCGCGGACACTCGGAACTGCCCAGGGGAGCATTGCCAGATTACTACTATCACTCGTGCCAGCAATGGTAGCGGCAGTTGCAGTGGTGACGGCTGCAGACGGGGGCAAGCGAGCCTCGATCACATTCAGAAGTTCTCGCAGGGCCGCGACAGCCAGCTGGACATCCGTTGGAGTATACGTATGGAACCGCCATGGTCCTATTGTCTCGATAGAAGAGTGACCGAGTTGGTCGGTGTCGGTCTCCCACTCCCATCGACCGCTGGGCCATTGCTGGACCTCCACTTTGCGGGACGTGATCGTCGCCAGATATGTGCGGTAGATATCCTCCAGCGGCTTCCAGCCGTAGCCCGTGTTGATCCGGTCGAGGTTATCTTCACAATGGGTCACAAAAGTGGCTTTGCATGCGACCTGATCAAATCTATCAGAAGCATCAGCAGGCATAATCCGATTGAAATTTGAACGAGCAAAACTGTACAGAATCCCGTATTCATCGCCGGACATCCAGCCCGTCGAGTGATGCAAATAAAGAAAGCAGTCGTGTGCCTCCGCTAGACCATTGACATGCTCGTCCACGAGGTACTCCCCCGACGACAGATTACCAACGTAGTAGAAGAACGGCGGGGACTCGGGGTGATAGTAGACACGTTTCAGGAATTCGATCATCCATGGGTGGTAGTGCGAGGCTTCTGCATCTGTAGGCTGGAAATGCTGCCACCAGGTGGGCAGTTGGCCCCAGCTTCGTCCGCTTCCCTTCCATCCAATCTCGAATATTTGATTGTAGAGGTCTGCACAGAGTTCGAAGTTGAATCTTCCGATGGAAACGTGTGTCATAAATCGGTGAGACATTTTGCTCGCTGTCAAGAAGTCGAATCGGAAAACGGGAAAAGGGTTCAATTATAATAACCTCAAAGCTTGGGACGCTGAAAGCAGATCAATCGATCCGGGAATCGTAGTATGTAATACAGACAGTACAAGACAGAACAATACATACAGTAATTTGCCCTTCAGGCATACAGTGTTTGTATATAGCTGTTTATTATTCATCCCACTTTCCATGAGTGAGTTTTGTTCTCGTTAGCATCAACTTCAATACACATCTAGAAGGTTGACTCATTTCTGAACTGTGACTCACTATCATACTAGACACGGTCTTTGATGCAGCCCCGGTCGGTCCTGACCCGCCAACCTGATGCACTCCAACGCCTTCTTGATGAATGTCCTGGTCGTCGTGATCCAGCCTCAACGCAATCAACCTCGTGGGTCACGCGAACTGGGCAAGAGGACATCGATCAAGCCTGCTCCTGGATCAAGGTGCAGGCGATCCATCAATTCATCCTCCATCCATACAACCCATACATCCCACAGACCTCCTGGTACCCCGGGTTCACAAAGAAACCACCACATCGTGCAAACCTCTCAGCTCGATTGCAACAAGACGCGCAACTCATCGCCCACCTGCCTGAGCTCTGCGACATCCAACCCGCCGACACCACGGACACCAACGTGTATCTCTCCGCCTACAACATCCTGTGTACTATCTGTGAAACACCCGCCATGAGCAAGCATCTTGCCCCAGAGCTGTTGGATCTCTGGTGGATGCGCGACCGGGCGCGGATGAATGCCACTCAATTTGCGGGATGCTGCTGCGCAGTGAGAATCGGCGCATTCGCGAGCTGGCGGAATATCTGGCAGAACAATTACGGCTGTGATTACTTGAATGACTTGATAATTGTGAAGCTTGGCGACATACGAGTACATCCTCCGTAATAAAATCTGTAATAACCATATCCTGGGTTACATCGGGTATCGGCCCGGGCCCGACAAGATGGACCCTTTGCGCACTCACGGGACCACTACGATGACCCTGAAAATAGGGGTTTGAGGGCCAATCCGTGGTGAGGCTACACACTCTGGGCAAAGTCCGGATAGAAACGGGCGGACTAACCCTGAGAAGTTAAAGATCGGTCTTCTCAGTCGAGCTTAACGAGGCCTCGGCCACAGGAGACACACCAGTCTTCGAACATCGCGCTGCCAAGATCACGCTAGCTGGTGGGTCGTATAGCACCGTTGTTACAGCTCTGTAAACCATGGTGTGACTCAAAACTGATCGTTGTATCCTTCATGCTCAGCCGTGGACGATGGAATTGAATTTGGAGTCACAGGTTTCAATGCATAAAAACAAGCGAGTTTCCTTCAGTCCAAATCATGTTAAGCTTATCCAGTCATGTCTCGCAATCACGGAGAGGAAGTTCCTCTCGGACCATTCAACTATGAATTGTGCGCAGAACTCCATAATCGCATTTTCCTGATCGCCTGGACTGCAGCAGGAAAAGCCCTGGAGAATAGCTCTATTTCAACCTGGTGGGGGCATTTTCAACCCTCCAAAGAATTCGCCGCGCGTTATCATCCCCATTTGGTCAAATTTTTCCAGCGCGTGTACTACCACCCCGAGGCTCCGGAGTTCTGCTATTATCTCGAGAACCTGAACCCTCCTCATTCCTTGATTGATGAACACTTCAACGACATTTCCGACGGGAGGGATTGCTATGTCGACCTACATCGCGCCACGAGCTGGTACGAGCCCAATGGCGATGAATGGGGGATCATGTAGGTTGCCCCAACTCATTACCTCTTTATCAAGATCGTGCCCTAAGCAATATGCATAAACTCGACCAAATCACCTGCAAAGCTGTCTTCGCCGAGAGCCGCGAAGCTACGCACCCGATCCTCAACTATGGTCACGGCTTCCGGCCGCTCGAAGACATCTATGCGGACTACCTCCAGATGATCACGGAGCACAAGATCGAGGCGCAGGTGAATGGGCAGTGGCCTCTTGGGGATATCGGGACTGACACGCTGAGTAACTCTACCTTTGATACGATCGGCCCGTGGGCGGATCCATACGTATACCGCCGCCGATGTCGACAAGGCCGTGCAAGCCTTCCAGGACCTTGTCCATGAGATCGAGATCCGATTACCCAGCAGCAGCAACAGCAGCAGTAGTGATTCAGCACAGCTAACCCTCCCCTGGTCCGACCCCGCCGTGCGCTCAGAAGCCCACCTCGTCCCCAACAGCTTCATCAACCGCTTCTGCACCGCAACCAGTGCGGCCACCACCCGCCCGGTCCGCTTCCGCTACCTCGCCCCCGGAATCCGCCTCCCGACCGAGGCCGAATTCCGCGCCCAACCACTCCGAAATCTCGAATATCAATCTGCCATGCACCGTGCACTCCCCGTAGCGCGGCCGATTAAGCCCACCCTCCTCTTCCTCGCCGATGACCCCGCCGCCAACACTCCGGGGCCGACCGTCACGACCGTCCCCAAGCCCGATCTCTGCCTCAACTCCCTCCTCGCTGACTTTGGCGACGACAAGCACCGAAGAACGACGGCCCCGCGCCCCGCCGGCCTGTATCTGACGGCCGACCATCGCAGGGTCAAAAGCTGCGAGAACGGCTGCCGCCTGCTGCTGCCGTTTGGAGTTGGACGGCACGGCTGGGCCCGTCGCAGCGACGGCACGCGCATGGGCGACTACGCCTGGTGGGGTGGGGACCCGGCGGATGCCAATTATGATTTGTATCAGTGCGAGTTCAATGGGTTCATCCCCTTGCGTGACACCCCGCTGCACCAGATGTTGGAGAGCTGGGCGGAGCGGGTGCGGGCGGGGGATTGGACTGTCGGGCCGGATGGGGTGGCTGACGGGGTGGAGCGGTGGCGGGAGGCCGATACGGAGGCTGGCTGGCGGAAGTATAGGGTTCCGGTGCGGTGGTGATATGGCTACTGTAGTTGTATAGGATAATATCTGATGTTTATCTGTGATCATCGTGGGATGCCCGGGATGGTAGGGAATGTCGCACGGGCAACGTTCTCATCGCAGATCACCTCCTCGTCTTTATCGCAACTCTCTGTATTTGCTTTTGGGAAGGTCATGCTGGTGTTGAAGCAGAGAGAGACCCTCGACGAGGACCATCTTGGTAAAGGTATATCGGTCTGCTGGTATAGTCTCCCTGGGTTGGAGACTCGGTAGGAACGACAGTAGTTCAGTTATGCGTTCGTGACATCAACAATGGGGAAGTCACGGGTGAAAGTTGTGGTGAGCAATAGCACGGACAGTTTGGTATATCCCTGATCCATACGCCACCTAGCGTAGCTCGTAAATAAGTTAGCTATGGGGAATGGGGGTGTTTGACAACCTTTCAACCAAAGAAAAAGAAACGTTGGCCTTTTCGGCTTCCTTTGTACTGTTTCGCTCAGATGAGGTGAAGGAATCTAGAAAGAAGGATGAGAACATGATACAGAGCTGCCTACTTGCTTACTGATTACGTCGGTATTGTCTCCAGACCCTCTTTGTATGCTTGTACTTCTTCTTCCTGTCAAAATTTTGCTAGACTCCATTGCCAAATTTACAATTAGTTGTTGACAGTCTGGCTTTTCGTCAGTTGTCAACTCTCTCTTGCTGGGGATGCCGTAGGTGGTCCGTGCACGGACGCCCGGTCGCATCACCCACGGCTTACCCTCTGTTCACCCCCGGTCAATTCACGGTTTTCTTTATAACTAGCATCAATGATCCAGGGGAATTTTTCTCGGGATCTACTGAGTAAGTTGCAAGTCCTTGAGTCTGAATGAAGATGAATCGACCATAATTCCTAAGTGGATATTCTGGTGGAAGCTTTCTATTCCCAGGATCATCATGATGAAGTCAACCACGGCGCGGATCGCACATCAAAAGTGGGAGACAGCCTTTCCACACTGGACAAGGAAGAAACCGCCTGCAGAAACCCACCACAAACAAACCACTACATCATATCGGGAGAGTCAGGGAAAAGTCCGCGCCAGAAGTCACCAAGAGTGCACTTCCCACCGGTAGACAACGGGCAAACCCGGTGGACCCTTCTCAGCACCACTTTTGCCACCCCCACAGGCCACAGCTCCAGCTCTTTGTCCGATCAGACCACCTTCTCGTAATCCTTATAAGGAGGTAAAGAAGGTACCGTGACCACCGGCAACAAATCGCAAAAGTAGCATGATTTCGGCCGAGCGACGGTTAACACTGGCCGGATTTCCAGTCCGCCGTGGGTTTTTTGACGCTGACCTCATTCGCATCCCATTCCACGGTCCGGTGGCTGTCACTCTCCACGCCCTATAATATACCCCGATCTTCAGCATTATTGACTATGTAAACTCTTTCCGATCCCATAAACACACACCACCACACATACCACACCCCCACCTCCATAATGCCATTCTTACCACTCTCACAAGTCCGGCGTCTACGGGACGAACTTCAGGGCACCAATGCGGAAATTTCCACGTGGGGCTGCGAGGGCTACGGCGATAATATCAAGCAGTGGAGCGATTCGTGCGATGAAGATGTCGTGAGTTTGTTCCTCTCCCTAATGAGACAAGGGTTGACCACGACTGATGAGATCAGGGTGCAGTGGTCCGAGTGACCTGCGCCGACGAAGCCGCGATCGTGGTGCGATTCGTAACCCGCCACCAGATCCCCCTGGCCGTCCGGGGCGGGGGCTACTCGACGAGCGGCAGCTCGACGGCGCGCGGGGGCATCGTCCTGGACCTGGCCAAGCTGCGGCGCGTGCGCATCGACCCAGACGCGCGCGTGGTGGCCGCCGAGGGCGGGGCGCTGTGGGCGGACATCGACGTGGCGGCGGCGCAGCACGGGCTGGCGGTGGTGGGCAGCACGCTGAGCCACATCGGCGCGGCGGGGGCGACCCTCGGCGGCGGGTACGGCTGGCTGACGGGCCAGTACGGGCTGGCCATTGACAACCTGCTGTGGGCGAAGGTGGTCCTCGCCGACGGGAGCATCGTCATCGCCTCCGAGACATCCCATCCCGACCTCTTCTGGGCGATCCGCGGCGCCGGCCAGGAGTTCGGCGTCGCCGTCGAGCTCGGGTTCCGCGCGCATCCCCAGCGCAATGCCGTCTTCGCGGGCACGCTGCTCTTCGCGCCGGAGAAGCTAGCGGTCGTTGTCGATTTCGCGAATCGGTTTGAGAAGCAGACGGACGGGAAGCAGGGGCTGTGGTTCGGGTTCACGGTTGCGCCGGCGATGACGCAGTGCTGTATCTTGGTCGTGGTGTTCTACAATGGGGATCAGGAACGCGCGGAGCAGTTCTTCGCGCCGCTGCTGACGGCGGAGCCGCTCGCCAACACCGCGGGGATGATCCCCTACGATAGTTTGAATGGGATTCTCAATACGACGGACACGCTGCACCGCCGCGGGAGCGACACCGAGGTCAACATCAGCTACCCGCTGGACGTGGCCATGGGCCCCCGGAAGAGCATGCGCGGGAGCAACGTCACCCTCCCGCTGGAGCTGGGGTTCGTGCAGTCGGTGTACGACGAGTTCAACGGGATGCTCACGGAATGCCCGCAGACCCGGGATAGCAGGCTGCTGTTCGAGCTGCTGCCGAATGCGCAGATCATGAACGTCCCCGACGGGGCGACGGCGTTCGCGAACCGCGGGCCGTACTACAATGTCAGTTGTCTGTTTCGGTGGTACGATGCCGATCTGGATGTGCAGATCCGGTCGGCGCAGGCCAGTTTGTTGGGCCGGATTGCGACGTTGGCGGGGATCAGGCGGCCGGGGTATAAGGGGCCGAGACGGGGCACGGGCATCTATGCCAATTATGCTGGTAAGACAGCCTTCTCTTGGATGGGAGGGAAATAGCTAACAAAGGACAGGCCGCGATGTGCGCAGCGAGGAAATCTTCGGAGACAACTTCCCCCGCCTGCAGGAGCTCAAGAAGAAGTACGACCCGCACAATACGTTCAACAAGTGGCACCGCATTAGGGCTCCGGAGAAAAGTCGGCAATAGGCTGCAATTGCATGCAAAAGCCTGCGACAAGAATGCGGCGCTGAGTGGAACTCGGCAAAATACCATTCGTATGTGACATGAACTTGGACATCGGCACAAAACTCAACGACGGTCCATTCGTCGGTGGGACATGTATTCTATACCCGTTATGATCTGCATACGGTGCAAGATCACCTATTTCGGTTGAATTAATATAAGCCTAATGATTGAAATGATGGTACATGATTAGTAGATTGGACATTCCTCTAAGATAATGTCAACCGATCGCGTAGACCAAACAGCCCCCGATACCCCAACCCTGCAAGCCCGGAGAAAGAGAGAGAGATCAGCCAGATTACACGAGATTCCCTTCGTATCCCCCTTGCCAAGCGTAATTCTTCAAAGCTCGGAGCCGAAGACCGGGGAAAATGCGGAGTCTCATCGATGGGTCTGGAACGACCGGGGTCAAACCTTGCGGTGCTCGTAATGCTTCTGTGGTTCATTGTTGGGTCGCGAGTGTATAAGGTTGGGTCAGAGCGTCTGGCTTTACGGTAACCTCGCCACCGCCGATCCAAATTCCGTCCGAGGAAGCTGTTGCTCGGTAGATTCCTGGGAGCTCCTGACAGCTTGCTTTGAGCTCTGTAGCAGCATTGCCGCAGCGATAGAAACCGCAAGCTTACCGTATTTTGACCTATTCAAGATGACCCGTCTTTCGTGCCGACGCGCGATCGAGCTGAAAGCGACGCTGCAGGAGACCCGGGCGCAGGTGCACACCCCAAGTGATGTGGACTACGCGGAGCGCAGTCGCTGTCTCGAGCTGGGTGAGGTCGAGTCGGTATGTCTTCATGCATTCAAGCTTGTGTCATGATTGACAGAGGCAGGGTGCCATCGTCCAAGTCACGACCACCGACGAGGTTTCGCGCGTTCTCAGCTACGCGAGTAAACACCACATTCCGATTATCGTCCACGGTGGCGCCTTTGCAACAAGTAGCTCATCGGGGGAGGAGGGAGGGATCGTCATCAGTCTGGCGCGCATGTCCAAAGTGGTGGTTGATCCGGCATCACGCACACTGGCCGCTCAAGGAGGCGCGAGATGGGAGGAGCTCGTCGGCGTTGCGGGCGCATCGGGCCTCACGGTCATTCCGGCCCCTGGGCATGGCTCTACAGCCGATGCAGGTCTTGGAGCAGGAACTGGCTGGTTGACGAGTTGCCCTGGCTCGATTGTCGACAACCTAGTGAGCGTCAAGATAGTCCTGGCGGATGGGAATATTGTCACAACGTCGAGCACGGAGAAGCCCGATCTCTTTTGGGCGCTGCACCACGCCGGAGGGGTGTTCGGTCTTGCCACTGAGTTGGTATTTAGGGTGTATCCCCAGGGGAGGCAGGAAGGGTCTACGAAAAGCAGCGAGGCAGATGGTGGTATGTTCCACCATTTTGGATTTCCCTATCGTAGGACTTCCTTGACTGTACGATGCTAATCTGTTCAGGGCCGAAAGACGGTGTGGAAGACTCTGGCCAGGACGACCTACCACGCTTGCAGAAACTGAAAAGGCAATACGATCCTTATGGGCTGTTTGGCAGCCTGGACAGTGCCTCCTTAGACACGCGAAAATAGCTTCTCGGTCGCGTTTGGTGGTGTCTGGCGTGGCTATGCTAACATTTAACATATGTACGTACGAGTCTACACAACAATCTGTGGCTCTGTTATTTGTGAGTCTTCTGGTATATAAACCCACCACTATTTACACAATCTCTTTCCTCCCGGGCTTCGCCATGATATCCAGACACAGCGGGCATGTGTTCCTGCCACTCATAACCCAGCCGTCCAGACAGCGATCGTGGAAGACATGCCTGCATGGGAGCAGGTAGATCAGTTGCATCTGGGTGACGACTTCCAGGCAGATGGGGCTACACACGACGTCAGTGGCTTGCTATCTCAAAATGGCAATCCTAAACATCCGTGACACGCACTCACCAGACAGCAGGGCTGTTATACCCCATCAGCTTGCTCCGCTCCGTCTGGATGGAAGCCCACCAGTCTCCATAGAGATTCTTCAGCACGCTTTGCTGGAAGTAGAGCAGTCGCCGTTCCTCCGAGTTGCGACTGGTGTACGGGAGGATGGGCTCGAAAGCAGTGTTTGGGGGTGTAAAGTCTGCCTGGTAGCGGCGTTTGACAATGACCCTGGGCGCAATCAGCGTGGAAGTGAGTACTCAGCTAACGAGTCATGACTTACAGCATGAACACCGTTATCGACAGGACGATGATGTACAGAACACAAAGATAGAGTGGGAGTTCGTCCTGCTTAGGCGGGAGGGTTCCATACTCGGCGTGGACCCATGCTGGAGCCTTCAAAGGCGGCGGGCTAGGGCCGGGGGCTGGTCGTTGTACGAAGGGCGGTGACATGGTTCGTGAGCAGACATTCGACGACCTTTTGCACGAGAAGGTATTCGCCAAGCACAGCCATTCATCTTGATCGTAAAACTGGAGCCTGCAAGAGAAGTCGAGTACGATTCATTGTCTACTTTACGAGCCATCAATGGATAATATAGTGATCTGGGGGCTGGCGAACTTGATATTCGGAAAGCAACCTGACCCCGGGTACTGCGCATCATTCTCATGTGATATATGGGGGTGCATGGAGGGGGGAGATCAGGGTGATCATGCTGAGGCTCCAGTCTTTCACTGGAAATGGACTGTAGCCATGGATGCAATACGCGGGGGTTTATGGTTTGGGTTCGCCGCATCCATACATTGGCCCGTCACGCGACCCCCCACTACAAAGCCCTCGCTGCCGTCGATCCCCTCCCCATTCACCGCTTCTCTTCTCATACTCCACACTCGGAACCATGTCTTCCTGTGAGACTCGGTCTTTTCACCCTTCTCGACATGATGTCGGTAGAGCTGGATTGGAGACGAGGGCAATGCGAAGGTCCAGGCAGTTCTAGCCGATGTCTGGGCTGTGCCTGCGACGGCCCACGCCTTACCCTCTTGAACCAAGGCACCAGATCTGCCTTCACGAGTAGGCGAGCTGGCAGGGCTGAGTCACTCAGGTATCACGAGCCACCCCCCCCAAAAGATGTATAAATCAGGCCCTGCCAATCCCCAACCTCGATTGGTAGGCAGGAGATCATTTCCCAACGCTCACATGTTATGCACACACCATCATGACCACTCGAAATCGTCGACCACATACAGTGTGGTTGATAGGTGGTGGGGTCGAGTCCTTGGTTGCTGCCTCTTGTCTGATAAATGAGGCCAAGGTCCCCGGCAAGCGAATCCGTATCCTAGATTCAAGAGGTCACCGACAGTCTACTGGCACTATCCGAGATAATAAGTCGACACACAAGCGATTGATCACGTCTAGTACGAGTCACTGCCAGGACCTGCCATGCGCATCAGCCAAAGAACCCCATCAACCCCAGCTCCTCGACGTACCCACCTTCCACCATGACGAATCCCTTGCGACATGTACCCGAGACCGCACCGAGGCTTTTATGTCGGAGCCTATCCATTTCCTCGGCCATCTCGGCCGCAAACAGGTTTGGCGCAAGAACCGCAAGGACATCCTCCACTTCCTCCTGCAGGACGAGGAAGCATACGAAGGGCTGAGCATTCAGCTGGTGTTCGATGAGTCCTTCTTCGACACCTACTTCTGGAGGCTATTCTCATCAAGGTAAATCCCGCCTTTCCCTGACGCATCCTGTCTCCGGCTGGGAGAACGATGCTAAAGGGGGTGATGTCGGGCTCCAGTTTCGGCCTACGCCCATCGCACTCCGCCGTCGAGTTCCATCGCTACATCAGCAAATACCTCGACGAGGTTATCGGCAACAGCATCCAGATCGCTGACCCGCTACAACTCTCCCTACGGAAGACCGTCCTCCGGCCGCTGCGAGCCTATCTTCGGAATCAGGGGGTCGAGTTTCACAGCCTCCACGTCACCGACATCCACTTCCACCCAGACACTTATCCTCAAACCGCCAGCGAGATTCAAGCGATCGACCCGTGTGGGTATTCCATGCTACTGCCCGTGCGGGCAGAGGACATTCTCATCGTGACGCTCGGCTCCGCCGCGTCAGGCATCGCGACCGGCACCCCCGCCAACCCTCCGCCCGCCCTCTCCACCAGCACCCAAAGCCTCCTCGACGATCCCAGCTGGGCGCTGTGGGTTGCCCTCGCCCAGAAATCCTCGCAGTGCGGCAATCCGGCCTCTTTCTGCACTCATTTGCCGGAATCCCGCCTGGGGATGTTCGTCATCCACCTGCCGCAAGCCGAGTTCAACGCCCTCCACCACCGCGTCCTGGGCACCCATCCCGCCGTCGATGCCACCATCGCAGAGAGCAACTGGTCATTGAAGCTCGTCTTTCCCCAGCAGGCGCAGCAAGAGCAAGATGATTCCAACCGCTCCATTCTAGGCTATGGCTTCACCCCGGACGCACCGGGCCACCACATCCACAAACCCATGCCCGCATGCAGCGGTGACGAGATTCTCGCCGAGCTCCTCAGCAGCCTCAACATCCCACCCGCGCAGATCATCCCCAAAGCCAGGACGGTGCCTTACGTCCTCCCGCTGGGATTGTCGCCGCTCCTCAAACGCGACCCCGGCGATCGGCCGGATATCACCCCCGCGGATCTGGGGAATCTGGCGCTAGTGGGACAGTACGTGGAGATCCCGGAGGAGACGGCGCTGATGACCGAGTATAGTGTGCGGTCGGCGCAGTTGGCGGTGCAGCGGCTGATGGGGGGGTTGTCGAAGGTGAATGTGTCCGAGGTGCATAAGTCGTTTCTGGCGGCGAGGTATGGGCGGAAGGGCGGGGTGGTGTCTTGTCGGTAGTTCTGTGGTGAGAATCAATGGAGGGGTATGTTCTGAATGGAGGAAATAAGGGGTTCAATTAAAAAACCGAAGATAACCATATCAAGTCTTGTTCTCTGGATGGACAATCACACACTTACCACTACATAGAGCTTGGTTGCCTACTTTGTAAAACCTGCACTCAAATCCAGATTACGATCACAGAGTGCGAGTATAGGATCAAAACACGCATTCATAGAATTTCTCATTACCTTGCCGATATTCAGATGATCATCAAAGTCCTTCATCTAGACTACCTAGGACTCAGGACTCAAGCTTCTGTACTGTACCACTTGGCGCTGCCACAACCCACCTTCCTCCTCATCTCGACTCCACCCTCGCTAACCCCTCAAGCTCACCCCGGACAACCCTAACCGCCTCCTCCCAGACCTCCTCGTCCCCGTGCAGCCTCGCCCGCAGATACGCCCACGTCACCCGCTGCACCACGCCCACCAACTCCACGCTCTCATCCGTCGTCTCCTTAGCATCGTACCCGGCAATGCCCCCCAACCCATGCGTGGCCCCCGCAATCGTCAACAGACTCTTCGGCGCGGGACTGTGCACATACGCATCGGCGTGCCACTCGGGTCCGCGCACCGTCAGATGCGGCGACGCATCGGCGTCCCCGACCGCGACCAGCGCCGGGGTGCGCATCGCGGCGAAGTTCGGGTGGCGCAGGAACGGGTACATCGCATGTGCTTGGGGGCTGAGCGCGTCCCCGCCCTCCCCGATCGGCGTAAGGAGGATCCCTGCTCTAATGCGCGGGTCGAAAAGGTCGACCACCTTGTCGTCGTCGGCCGGGTCCGTCAGCTGCATCCCCAGGAGCATGGCGGCCGTGTGCGAGCCCATTGAGTGGCCTGCTACCGCGATGCGGGTGTGGTCTAGTCGGCCTTTGAGGAGGGGGACAAGGTTCTCGATCAGGGCGAGATGGTCGAGGATGAGCTTCATGTCTTCCACGCGGGAGCGCCAGAATAAGGGAGCGCCCTCGACGGAGGGGTTGAGGCTGAGGGATTTGGAGCTTAGGTGGGTCGGTTGCAGGACGATGAAGCCCCGCGCGGCCCAGAAGTGGGCGAGTGGGCCGTAGCCGTTCAGGGAGGAGAGGTGGTTCGAGTGGCCGTGGCCATGCGAGAGGAGGATGAGGGGCAGGGGACTGTTGCCTGTGGTCGGGGCGGTGATGCGCATATGCAGGTCGATGATGCGGTTCGGGGCCGGGAGGACCACCGGGCTGATGGAGATGGTTTGCTCGGGGGCGGGGACGGCGATCTGTGCGGCTTGGCCGATGAGAGCGTGATCTTGCATAGTGCGGAAGTTGACAGTGGTCGTGGTCATTTTGGAGATTTGTCTCTGTTTCGTCAGTACTGTTACTTTGAGAGTGCGTTGATAAATGCTGGTAGGGTGCAGCATTTGGATGGAACGACGAGCTGTATTTATATTCATGTTTCGGCTTCGTGGTGCGGGCGTGCTGCTGTCAGATCGTGTCAGATCGTCTGAGAACAGGACACTAAGCCTAGCAGGAGAAACTCGCGAATGCTACGATCTTACTTCAAGTAGCCATCGGGGATAGCATCGGATCTAAGGTTCTCGTAGATGCAACCGAGCTTGTCCCGATCGGGCAAAACCCGCCAGCCTTGTCGGAGTTAAACGCGTTCCAAAACCCGGGACTGGCTGTCTCACCTCCATAAATCCATTGCTTAGAAATACAATCTCATACTGGTCCACTGATTACATCAAAGTCAGAAGATCAGCCACACTAGCATGCAAATCGCATGGAACATATGTAATGACAAACTGTCACGCCCAGCGCCAGGTCAGCACTCCTTCGCCTGCCAGTATCTCTCGAATGCCTTGCTCTACCCTAGTCTCACCATATCGTAAACAAAGCACATCATCTTTGATATCACTTCTTCAAACTCATATCAACTAGTGCCTTCTCTCTGCGCTTTAATATGTATGTCCTTCACCGAGAAGTCGGTAAACCGCCTTGGCCGCAAAGACCGTCGAATAGATCCCAACGCAGAGAAAGCCCAACCACTCGCACACCAGCAGCACCCGCGCGTACGGATCGAAGCACCACTGGATCACTGTGGCCGCTCCCTCACAGCCACACAGATCATTGCGCATGGAAAGCTCATCTTTCAGTGCTCGGGCCCACAGCCCGGTCGCAGGAAGGGTCTTCCAGAAAAGGAGGTTCCACAAGTAGTCAGTCGCGATGGTCGAGTAGAGCTGGGCGAAGTAGGTGGACACGAGCAGGCCGCAGCGGCTGTGGTTGATCAGGTAAGAGATGCTGCAGTAGAGGAGGAGGCCGGCGGCGAGGGGCGAGGAGTCGATGATGGCGGTGAGATGGCGTTTGATTCCTGGAGCGAGGCTGGTAGTCATGATGAGGGTGAAAGTGAGGACTGCGAGCTGGTTGATGTGGGCGGCGATCTGGGTCATTGTGCTGGTTGTCTTGAGGTTTTGGTTTGATTTTGATGGGCGATGTTGATTTCGGTGGGTGGGTGGGAGTGGAAGTGGTGGGAAGTTGTGGAGTAGAAGAGGAGGTTGATATTGGGCTAGC